TATGATATTTGAAGAGCCGGCCTTGTTTAAATCTTCATGGTCTCTTCCAACTTTTATCTGGCTAAATACTTTGTCACAAAACTGCAGGTCCTCGCATGAATACTCTATACAGTTTGTCAGTTTAAATCCTCTCTTGGAAGTTGAGTTTCTTTTTTCGCCATTACGACGACTTTATTATGAAGACGAACCTTAACATTTTCATTCCTTCTATCTTCTTTGTTCTGTAATTTTCATTCAGCAGACATTCACAAATGGATAACGCTGTGATAATGTAACAAGTTACGGTTGCGAAGAAGTACTGAAACCTCAATATTTTCAACAAGCGAAACGGCGAGAGTAAAGACAAATACTTGCTTGAAATATTTGTAGATTTTGACTAAGCTGCGTGCCGAAATCATTCGAAGACAACCAGTTTGAGAAATGAATGATTTTTTGTCACTGAAACAAATGTAAATAAGCGCAGCCTGCTCTTGGAGACTGTCCAGTCATCGCATATTAGCCCAGCGCAACCTTATCTTATAGGTGAAGTTTTCCCAGTTGCCATCTTATGTAAACTACTTTGATTCCACTGGATTGGCGGCTGGGAGACGGGGCTTTATGACCTAATTAAGGCCGCTCGCGCCCGCGACGCGGTCTGCGTCTCTCTCGCGCGTATGCTTTTTAATCCTTCTCAGCCTTAACTAGGTCACGAAGCCCCGCCTTCCAGCCGCCAATTCAGTTGTATCAAAAGGTATTCTCTTTTGCAATTTGTTAAAGTGTTTTTATACCTCAAAAATTATCAGAATTCGCCTCATATGATGTTTATGCCAAGTAAAGCTTCGCTTGTGTCTTTGCTAACTCGACCTTTTAATTATGCTGCCTTCTTCAGGAGTCTTTCAAACAAAGTCTTTTGAGAACAACGAACCTTGGATCCACGTGATGACTAGAATTAATCAATTTGAATTATTCATGTAATTAATTAATACGGCTGGCATCACGGGATCAAGTTCCCTTGTCCTCATGTTATGATGTTAACATATGCTAATCGGTACGTTGTGGAAGAGATGAAGTTATCTTCGATGACAAGCAGAGCAGAATATTGCTGTTTTTTTTAGCGATTCAATATAATTTTGTTCTTTCTAAAAATGTGGCCAGCCGATTCATTCATGAGTTGTAATTCCTCAAAAGTAAAAATAATTTTTTTCAGAAGTTTTTGAGCATTTTCAGCAGTCTGAATGTATAACATAACCTGTAGCTGACCTCCAAGTACTGTGAACTTCTAGAATGGGCTTTTGTAAAAAGTGTACTACTACATGAGTACTGAATGTGTAAGAGATTCGCAGCTGTAGTCAAGTATTTGCATTCGTGCTACAGAATGATATCATTTGGAAAAATGATGATTCTGGAAAGTTCTGTATGAATCGTTTGTGGAGCTGTTTGTCCGTGAATGTTGACAACAGAGGAACATAAGTCGTCATAAAGTGCTTGATTATTACCAAGAAGCCATAGTTCATTTTACTTCCTACCAAATAGAAAGTATAGAAAAGGAGAAGGTACTAGATTCAATGTAACCATATGTAGAACTAAGTTTAGTGCTATACACTGCTATCACCTGTGATCGGTGAGGGGGAGGGGGGAGGGGGGGAGGGAACTTATCGGTGCGGAAAAGGCTTCACTTTCTGTATGTAAAGCCCTTTTTCATACAATCATTTTTAACAGTTTCTAGATTCCGAAACTTCCGTTTTTTATCATAATCGTACAAGTTCAATACTATAATACAGGGTGTCCCAAAAGTAAGTACACACTTTTCAATCGTCAACATCTCTCTTCCCAATTGGTCTTTTTTTGCCATTCAAGTAGAGGGGGCTTTAACTTAGATTAACAGTATCGATCGAAACACCGATCGCTCTTCGTTACTGTTGGATTACGGTAAGAATTTCCAGCATGTGGAACCATTGTGAAATATGCCATCTGACAAAATTTTCTGCAAAAAATCTGAAAAATTGTCTACTAGTTTCGCGCACGCTGATTTCACCACACAACTTTTTACGAGTATTCTCAGCTTTTTTGACGGTTTAATTACATTTCTGACAAATGTTGGGAATTGAGTTATTACGATTTACCGGGGATAACTCAGAAAAGAAGCATCACAGTAAAATGAGAATTTCAAATTCGAAATCAGCGGCTCCCACTGCCGTAGTATAAGAATTTTTTGGCTTGTTTGGTTTTGTTCCGAGGGAATATGGCCTCCAATGGGTTAAAATCCTTGTCGAAGTTCGTACCGTAATCCTACAGTAATGAAGAATGGTCGGTGATTCGCTCGATACTTCAATTCTATGTTGAAACCTCCTCTACAGAATGGTAATCAAATGGAAGAAAAAGACACGATGGGAAGAGAGATATTGACAATTGAAAAGTGTGTACTTACTTTTGGGACACCCTGTATATTGAACCAATTATAAATAATTTCCATTTAAAATCTGGAAATCTGCTATTTACTCCTCATACTACTGCTCTATTTACTTTACTCAAAGGCTAAGTTAGGAACAAATTTTTCTAAAGCAGCAAGCTAATCGAGCGGATTTTGCTTTAAAAGTCGGCAGCTGCAACAATGAACACTCTGTACTTATGTAGAGCCCCTTAATGGACATTTTCAGAGCTGGGTATATTTTGTTTGCATTGGAGACATTTTTTACAAAGTCACATAAATCTGTGTTGAAAAATTTACTTTTTTTTGTTTTTCGATACTATCTTTCACTCCTTTCTACCTTTACAAACCCTTAAAAAAGAATATTTTGCACTTATCACTGTGCACTGAATACTTGTTGAATTATCTACACAACCAATCAAAAATTCTGTGCTGATAACATCTACATTTTCATAGGCCTGGTGTCACGTAGAAGAGTTCAAAGTCGAACTTCTATTTCATAAAAACTCAAGACTGAATACTTTAATTTGATGCTCTGCAGATTTTATGAGACAGTTTTTTCCTCTGATTTTTCTTGAGAAAATTGATATTCAAGTTATTCATCACACCCTTCCGTCTTTTCCAACAATGTTGTATGACACATTCACATTTTGTGAGTTGCGTTATTCTGATGCAATCATCACATGCAGCTGTCATCATCGCTCGCTGATCGCATATTTACACAAAAAATGTCACTCACATTCCTGAGCGTTTTCTTCAGTAAAAAATTCTGTCTTCTTAGATAAGGAGAACTGCGCTAATTTTCCGTCTATGCTGTTGAATGAAACATAATTTGAATACAAACAACCGTCGAAAAAAAATTTTTTATAGCGGATGTTTGCAAGATAGTTAACATAACCCTATAAAAAAACTTTTTTCTGTCGAAATGTTGCTGAAATTTTTCTAACGTACTTGTAGATATTCGAAAAAAATTCAAAATGTACAACCACCATAGGCCATGCCACTTTGCCTGTTCCCAAAGTACAATAAGATCATTTGTACTTTTCGTATTTGTAGTCCGGTATTTACAAAGATTATTGACCTTTTAGGTGTATATATGTGCATTTCAAAGAGGAATATTGTCCGACAGTGATAGTACAAAATTCTTCAGCATAGGAGAATGTGCGGAAATGTGGAAATACACACAAAAATTCGAGTTGAAAAAGTAAATTTGGATTTTTGTGGAATTCTGGCAAAGAAGAAAAAGAAGAAAACACAAAATACGCTCAAAATTTGAGGTGAAAAGTAAAGCTGTGGTTTTAGAATAAAGGGTAAAAGAAAACTTAGTGGAAAGGTAGGAATACGAGTCCGGCTCAAAAACTGGTGGTTTTTCAGACAAAGTTAGGCAGAAAACGGGAATAAAAGTTCTAGCAACCTAAATATACACTCAAAAATCCGAAAGGTAAATCTGGGATTTAGTGAAATTTTGGCAGAGAATAGAAGAAGAAAAATCTGTAAAACATAAAATAAGCTCAAAAATTCGAGAAAAATGAAGTTTTGTTATCCAATAACGAGTTTTGGTGAAAGGAAAAATAGTTTGAAAATCGTGATGACTACATTTTCAGAAAATTTTTGTTGTGATCTTCTTTAAACTGAATCCAAGCCTGTTAATATACAGCAAATTTAGCACTTTCTACACTTCATTGAGTTCGCCCCCCCCCCCCCCCCCCCCCCCGTCCCCCCCCGTCCCCCCCCCTCTTCTCATTCGCTGCGCAGTTTCACTTCGTTGCCATCGCGACCGCTCAGCTTATTGAACTTTGCTCTTTCCGATGAGCATCTTAAACCCCTTCCGATTCCTTCCGTGAAACTCCTCTCTCCGTTCTCTCTCTTCTTTATCTCTTATCTCTCCCGTAGGCGGACCCACATCGATCGCCAGTCCCCCCTCCCACCCCCTGCAACACAACTCCGTCCCCCTTTTGCAAACAGCGCATTGCCGTCATTCCACGACGACGATGAAATGTCGTTTATTTGTTCGCACATTCGTGTTCCGAAGTGGTTGGATGAACTTTCTTGCTCTGTAAATTCTTCTTGAAATTTTTACCGTATCCCTGGAGGATACTGTAGCATTCTGTGAGAGTGATTTGTTGATATCTTGGGTAAACTTCCTTCTAAAAATTTTTGGTTGAAAAATTCTTTATCTTTTTGCTTGTGATTTCTAACTGCCATAACTTACTCTATCTTGTCTTTCAAAATTTCGTCAATATTTTTAAGCCATATCAAACCAAAAAAGAGTTCATTTCCCGAATTTTTGGGGCCCTTACGAACTCTTTTGAAAACATTTTTATGGCTATGAAAAATCTTTTTTTTGTGTCTTTAAGTTTTTTAAACGCAATAACTTACTCTATGTTGTCTTTAGGGATTTTCTTCTTGTTCTAAGTCATTCCAAACCAAATAAAATAGATTATTCTCTACATTTTGGGATTCTAAACCAATTTTTTGATTATGTTCATGATTATTCTATTGACTTTATGCTGTAATTATTTTCTACCCGTCTTCGCCCCAATATTTTGACGAATCCTACTCATCCGAGCATAGTGTATGAGTAAACAACTGTAGGTTCAAGTCCCCTCTCAGGGCCACTAGTCCATCCATCAAATGGCCTCCAAACAGGCGCTTATGGTAGAGGAAGGCAAGTCACCGACTAACCAAGCTGTTTTTGAGAAGGTTAGGGGTTTTTACGGTAAATTTGAAGGGCTTAGGTATTTTAAAGTGTATTTTTTTAGAATGCTGAAAAAGTTGTATTTGAACTTGAGCCGAAAACAATTGGCTTAACAAAAGAGCAACTGGAAAAATATCGAAATGATCCATTCTGGAGACCGCTTAGGTTTGTTTTTTCAACATGATTTTTATATCTGAAAATTCCACTTTTCTGTTCAGGACCATTCTGTTCGTGCTTTTCTGGGTAGCATGGATTGCGATGTTCGCCGGAGCCATTCTTATCGTTGTTTTGTCGCCGAAATGTGCCGTGAAACAAAAACCCGAGTGGTGGCAAACGAAGGTCTCATATCAGGTGAGCCGACAATTGCGTAATTGGCACGTCGTATCTGATCATCAAACAAATTCCCCTCCCCCCTCTTACTCACTTGCTCATTATCAGCTCTAGCCTAGCGATTCACCCCCCCCCTAAAAGTACAAAAGAAGCGGTCCGCCATGAGCGCTGTGACCTCAATTGCCCGGACCTAGTATATCTCCTTTTTGATCGCAGACAGCCGGCAATCTATCCTCAAGGACGTTCCCGCGTGGGAACGCCAAGTTCTCCATTCAACAATACTGCTACTTAGAGGACGAGTTGTGAGGTTATATTCAAGATTCAGCCAGAAAAATTTATACTTGCCCTCAAAATTTCAAACATGTGGTGCAGATACATCAAAACGTGATTTTCTGGATGCTTATCATAAAAATGATGTTCTAGACTGCTTTTATGCGATGGAACTGTAGATAAAAGGTATCGGAAACAGAATTCGGGAGTTCTTAAGATAAGACGGCCAGACTGTAACTGGTCACGATGGACCTAGTTTTTTTCCAACTTTGTTTCAATTTTTATAGTATTTTACATGGGAAGTCAAATATTGTGTGGGAAATAAATAGTCTTATTGGAATTTCGACAAACATTTTTCAAAAATGAATTTGCATGTCAAGATTTTTATATTTTCTTGTTTATTTTGATAGGATCGTACGTCCCAATCATTCCATTTGTCCATAAACTAAAAATGAATCTGATTTATCAAAATAGAATAAATTTTCTCGGGTACTCAAAAACTTTGGAAATCGGGTTGAAAAAAAAGTTCCTCTGTAAATTCTCCTTGATACCAAGCTAATTGTAAACTTTAATCGAAAAAAGACTGCTTTGAAAATACATAATGTTTACAGCTTGATATAAAAAGGCCATAATCTGGGGTTTTGTTTTTGCCAATGCTGACTAATTTTTTATGAACTTTCATTCTTTATGAATTGTTGTCATTAGTTTGAATATAACCACTCTGGCTCTGCAAATTTGCAATTTTTGACGCAGAGTCAAAAAATTTGACATCAATTTTCTAGACCAATTTTTTGTGAAGTCAAATGCCATGAAATCAGCTCACTTAATTTACAACCCGGGGTCCTAAGGGACCAACTGACGCAGCTGTCAACCACCACATGTCTCCCAGTTCGACATCGTAATGCACACATGCTTGTAATCGAGGAAGTGGAATATTTCCACGGTTTTTGAATTTTTTGAACAAAAAATAGGCAAAAAATCTTTGTAGAGAATTCTTGCCCGATCACCTACTCTACTATATCGAGCCATAAGAGATTGTAATTTTTCAGGTCCTCACCCCAACTTTCCATGACACAGACAACGATGGCGTTGGCGATTTCAAAGGAATCACCGAGAAGCTCGATTTACTGAAGAAGATCGGTGTGACCACTGTTTACCCCACACCGGTAATTGAGATCCAAAAGGTGAGCTCGTAATGTATGAACAGCGAGTCTATGTGGAGGCTATCGTCACCGCATTTGTCCTTTATTTACATTCGACGCCACTAGCCAGAGCTTGCTCAGATTCCACAATTGAAGTGTGCTCTCTGCGGACCAAACTCTTTGTTGTAGGGCCTAGTTGTGTAGCTTCAGTTGCTTATATAATAGATGATTCGAAGTGTGGAAATAGCAGATAAGCATTGCGCAACATTAGTAAATTACTAACATTAGCGTGATGACTTTGGAAGCTCAAATTTCATAGAAGGTTTCCGTTATCCGTGTGGTGCTAAGGAAATCATTCCTTATCTGGGGTGCGTTAGAAGGAATGCTTTCTCTTCGATTTTTGAACTTTTTACATTGAGGCGCTTTGAGTGAAAAACATCTAGAGAACACCCAAAATTGATATTCTCAATTCTCTGGGATATGAAAACAAATCTACAACAAAACAGCAACCTATCTCGAAGTATTATTTGGTATTTTCATTTTGATTATATATCAATTTATAAAGTCGTAATTTGCATACATACACTAATCCTTTCCTTTTGATTAAGCTGTATCGGACTCCTCAGATGGGTAACTTTAGAGATTTAACTCATCAAAACTCTACTTATCGCAGATTTTTTTTGTTACCTAGAATATAGAAATTTTTGATCTTTAAGAAAAATTCTGTGTAAAATAAACTAGAAGAGGAAATTAAAATGCGATACACATTTACGAGATGTAAGAGTGATGCCACGTTGGCTTAAATATGGATTTAAGGGAACTTAAAGATTCAGTGTGAAAATCTATAATTATTAATCTACGCCGTGCACAAACGGTCGTGCAATAAAAAGAATATTTGAGATTTTTCGTATTTGCGATCTGTCTTTGCCAAAAAACCTTTTTTCCTGAGTAGTTCACATTTTCTTGTTTAGGATGAATATTTCAACCCTTACGATGTGACCGACCATCTTCAAGTGGACAAGCGCTTCGGTAGCGAAGCAGATTTCAAAGAACTCGTCGATGCCGCTCACAATAGAGGTAAGCTTACCCTAAGGCTCTTTATTTGGATATCATGCTAGGTTTTTTTTCAGATATGCATGTTGTCATGGATTTGCCAATAACATCGGTATCTGTCCAACATCCATGGTTTCGTGATGGCGAAACTGACAATTTTGTCACGGCAAAGCAAGGCTCTGCTGCTTTCGATCAAGAGAATTATCACCAGTTCCCTGCTGATAACACCACAAAGTACGCTCTGCTCAGTACTTTAGGGTCATTGAGAAAACGAAAAGTGAATTTAATTATTTAAGATATCTGGGCTATCCTACAGCTGCAAATCCGGTGCTGAATTGGTCGAATGCGAAAGTAAAGGATACGATCGTAGAGGCTATCAAGAAATATTTGCAGATTGGGGTGGATGGTTTCCATATAGATCACATCAGCCAGCTAGCACTCGATGAGAATGGAAATCCTAGTGTGAGTATGGAATTTTTTTTCACGGAAATAGCTGTCAGTTTCTAAGCAAAAAAATTGGGTGTTACAAATCCAAAACATATAAGCTGTGGATCAGGAAACTAGATTTTTAATCTAAATTTTCGTGCGAGTTTTTGCGCTTAGATGTTAATTGTTCTTGATGATTTTATTGTGCTGACAGATAATTTGTGATGCGCATATTTTAAGATAAGAAAGAGTTCATTATAAATCTATTATCCGTTCAAAAATGTCTTCAGTATGACACTCACCCCTTCTAGAACTAAATTTTTAATTCTTGTTTTTTATTCGATTGTTTGTCCATAGTCAATATTTTAGCACGACAACGCTTTGGCTGCTCTCAAAGATTTGACCTCTACGATCAAAGAGTTCATCGAAAGCAAAGACAACCTCAAAGAGAAGAAAATGTGAGCCGTTTTTTCTTTGTTTGCGGGCTCGGCACGTGCTGGCACCAGGAAAATTTCAAAACAAAGTTCCTTTGATCTTGAAAATCTCGTACAAAGTCCCCTTTGACCCAAATACTAAATCCTAAAAAATCCACAAAAAACGACGATTAAGAAGACGTCGCAGTTTTTGCGCCTTTTTGTCCCAAAAACGATATCCAGCTTGACCCACTGCCAGCTGTGCCAAACCCTATTCGTTTGGCTTCGCTCACTCCATAGTAAGCTTTATGTCTAGCGTAACTCGTCCACTTTTCAGAGTACTCTCCTCTTCGCATCGTGATATTGGAGAAATTCATGCAAAAGCTAGGGAAACTGGAGATTTACACTATGTCGTAGATGATTCGTTTGCCAGACTTTCGTCGGAAAAATGCACAGAAGGAGTAGCTGCCTGTGCTCATAGTGCTTTATCAGCATCGGATGCAAGACATCAGGCAAGTACTAGGTTAGGGAAATCCAAGAAAATTTCCAAATTCTATCCAGGCTGACTCGTTGATACCATACTGGCAATTTTCAAATGCTGACAACAGCCGACTTGCTTCTCGCTTCGACTCCGACACTGCTAATCTTTTGAATTTCATGCAGGTTTGGACCATCCTTTTACGTTTGAGATTACTCTAACCCACACCTTTAGCTTACCCTACCCGGAGCACTGTCGCTTTATTATGGTCAAGAACTGGGGCTTAAAGATGTGGGTACACCTCCAAGCCCTCGAGGAATCATGCAATGGACTCCAGCTGGCAAAGATCACCATGGCTTCCTTTCTTCCACAGAGGCTAACATTGGAAAATTATTCTTTGCCGAGAGCGAGGACCTAAAAGACGAAGATAATTTCGAGGTGGGTAAAATTTTTCTTTGGTAAGTATTGGAATAACTGTGCTTTTTTTTCAGACGCAATACGCTCAAGAAAATTCAGCTTTGAAATTGTACCAGAAGCTTGCAAAAATGCGACAGCGTGATGATGCGCTGATTCTTGGTGGTACGGTAAAAGATGAAGTAGTTGATGATACAATCGTCTACTCGCGCTATGTAAAATCTGGCAATGGAACCGCATCTGGAAATGTAAGCCACTCATCGAATTCAATTTTCGGTTAAAAATTCATATCTGGAAATTTGAGGCCTATATCGTAGCCCTAAACTTTGGCTCGAACGAATCGGCGCTAGACTTCAATCGCTTCACAAGCACCGAGGTTATTCCCACTAACAAGAATTTAGCCAATGCAGAAGTAAGACATCCCTGCCCTTTTTTAAATTCACAAAAAGCTCAAGATTTCAGGTAGCTGCTGTCACTCCCGGTGTGGAACAGTACCATGCACGTCAGAAGTTGGATCTATCAACAGAAAAAATGACACTGCCTCCTAAACAAGGCGCTTTGATTAGAATATGATGAAAGTTGGTCTGATCGACTACCTGCTATAAATTGAACTTAGAAAAAGATGATGTATGTTAGCAAGATATCGAATCTCGCTCGAGGTAAAGACTATGTCCTGATAGATTATATTTGTTTTCCAAAATCAAAAATAAACGTTTCTTCATCTTGTTGTTTATTGAAAGTTGATTTTGTAATGAGTTATAAAAAATGCAATATGCAGAAAAATTGTACCATCTCATTATCATGATAGATAAGCTAGTGGAAAAACGATTGATTATATGTATCTTACCCGGGAAGTTCCCATAGTCCAAATTCTAGAAGATATGTTTGCATTGGAGGATCTTATAAATACGCTTGTAAGAACCGTCAGTTAGTTTCAGTACACTAGCGGTCAAGTGCTCTTTCAACCACTCAATGCGCGCTGGTTACATATAGCCATCAAGTGCTTGAGCGGGCTAGGGGCTTTCTATAAGTGTACCATCATCATGTTCCATGTCCAACTTTCAATGCATCATCATCGACGTGAAGAAAGATGTACGACAAGGCGATGCCATAGCACCGAAGCTATTCAGCGCCACTCCCGAGAACGTCATGATACGGTAGAATGGAAAGAAATGGGAGTGTGAGAATCGACGGCCAGCAAGTACGTCACTTACCTTAGCTGATGACATCGTATTGATAGCGCCAAGCATCACGCAAGTGTAACGAATGCTGGGATAGTTTAAGACGTGTGTGAAAAGATTGGCTTACGGCTGAACTTGACAAAGAGGAAGTCCATGGCTCTTTATGCTTTGCGGAGCGTACAGTCGAGAAGATTTCCTGCTCATTTAGTGACCTGCAGACGCGACAACGCTTGTGCTGCAACAATTGCCACTGCGCAGTTCTGTAAGTACTTCCTTGTTTTCCTTGCTTATTCTCTGCTCATAAGGTAAGTCGTTGCTGATAAAGGAAAAGGGATAATTTAAAGAGTAGTTACTGCTTTCTGTAGTCAAATCATCGTTCATTCTCATGTATCTAGGTGGAGGCTAGACACGTCAGTTTCATGTTTATTTTCTGTCACTTTATGCCTCTCCGCATCTTTATATGCATTTTCTCTCACTTCGTACCTCGTCCTCATTTAAAAGCATTTTTTGAACGCTGATAGCGTTTACGTTTGGCTTATCGTCTTCAATAAGCAAACTGCTCGATCAATTGCTATTTCTTTCTAGGTGAAAGCCGAAGTTGCTCCAGAGCCTACTAGCGCTCAAAAAAAAGTTTCTAAAGAAGAAAGAGGCGTGAAAAACACATGAAACCGACGCGACGTCGCTTCCACGTAGATAACTGATAATAAGCGATGATGTAACCATGTTGCGAACTTTCCCTGATATTAAGGATGAACTTGTTGAACTTTCACTTCATAACCCTGTTTTTCGTACTTTCTCGATATGAAAAATCGCCACGCATTGAGTTGGCAAAACCCCGCCTCTACACGAATCGTGGAGTCGATGATACGCAGGAAACAGAAACTACTCCTTAGCTTACCTTTTTCTCCTTAAACAGCAACGAATTACCTAAAAAACAAAGGACAAGAAAACGCTAGAAAACACCCTCTTGCAAACTTACAATGGCAGACAAGCCTTGTCGCGTCTGCATAGGCGCTATATCAAGCAGAAATCTACTAGACTGTACGTTGCCTGCTCATAGCACATGGAACTCGATATGATGAGCTATCTAGCTCTTCTATAACAGTGGGAACTAGAGAGCATACAAGACAACTGAAGACGTAGTGAAGGAGACCAAATACGACTCCTCGCTCACCTATTCACCTCGACGATTTTTTCTGCTCAGACATAAGCGGATGAGCCGGCGGTTAGCGCGATCGAAGGTGCTGTTGAGAGAGTGATGAAGGAATTACTCGTTTCACCCTAAGTCAACGATCAAGGATGAGGGGAGCTGCCGCGTGTGCCAAACAGATCAAGATGAGGTGGGTAGGTTACATAATGCGCTTAAACATCACCGGTGGACTAGCTGTAACAGATTGGATACCAGTGTACGTTAGATGCAAATCAAGAAGACCGCTGAAGCGATGGTCGGATATGTTCACGAAGTTTTGGAATGAAGTCCTTCAGAGCGTCCACGCGCTCTTGGCGCGTTGCTTAAAACCTCGCCCAATCGCCATCGACTGGGACAAATGCAGACATCAACTGTACCTCCTTGTGCAACACGCGTGGTCAACATGTGATGCACGCGGTTAATAGTTAGTAAGAGTGATGAGATTTCAAGGAGACCATACTCACTTTCATCAGCAGTAAAACTTTTCTGATGAAGCAGTACCGCCTTGCTGTTCAAAGTTCTTAGGTAAGAAAACCAGATTAAGGCAGAGGTGGTGACATTGCAGCTTATACGCGTGGCAGTTTGACAGCGAAGCAGTTCAAAAAGCTATTTACACATGGAGGTTTCGCAAAGTGTTCAACGTCAGACGTCTAAGTACATAGCCTCCGTCGCAGTGCAAAAGCCAATATTTTACGTTTCTAGTGGCTATGGATGTGAAAGCGGTGAGTTTGAAGGCTGTCATGAGTATTGTCTTAGCTAGAGTATGATTTTAAAAGCGGCATATCAGAAATAAAAAACAACTGTTGCGGCAGGAAATTTGGAAAGAGGAAAGCGTTGCTAAAATCAAAAAGTCAAACTCTATTATTCAATATTAGAGACATTTGAAAAGAAAGTTGAAGATCCGCTAGGATCAGGGTCGTTTTTTGCCGTGAAGAATTGATCAGGTCGCCATTGTGACCTGTTCAACATCGCAGTTTGCTGTAATTCCTTTATCTCTTTTCAAGCGAAAGATTACAGGGTGCGGATGACGACTTCAACCTTGAAGATGCTCTTGATAGTGGAGGCAGCGACAACTCGGCGGTAACTGGAATCTCTATGCAATCTTGACTTTGCTTTCAAGGTGACTTCAATTTTAGGGGAATGACAGACATAAGGAAGGACCACCAAAAGACTTCAGTTGGGTGGAGGTGAGTTTGTGAGGTGCCAATATTATATTTATCAGTATTCTATGAAGTTATTAATACAATCAATTTGAGTTGTTCTTACCTGTGAATAGAGATAGTTTCGCTTTCTAGCCATAAGTCATACGATACTACTTTTTAGTCAGATATCTTTAAACGCTTCATTTATTTAGCCATTTAATCCGGAAGACGATAAGGTGCGAGAAACGGTCAGCATGGTAAGATTGCATTCCAACTGCAATGATTAGTACAAAAGGCGATTTGGTGCTTTGGAATAAAAAAGGAGAAGAAATTAGACTTTCACATTTTGGTGTAGCTCTGATTATGCAAGCATAGCACTTTTTGGGGTGATCTCTTGGGTTTTTTGATTTTGAATTGTTTATTCAATCACAAGTAAAACCACAGCCGGCTTGTGAGCACTTCGATCACTTGCATGCACATTTCACCAGTATTTCCAACAAAAAAAAAGGAATGAGAGAGTTATTGAGATAGAATGATTCTGAGAGAGATGGGACAGCATACACGTGAGTGCTTTCACTTAGGTCGAATATATCGGGACTGAAAAGAAGTGAAATCGCCAGCAAACAACAGACTTTCAGCAGAAGAGCATCAATATTGTAACTCTGTAATATTCCTATATCCGTCTTCGTTTCAATGATTATTGACTTGTAGGAAGTAGCATATACACTCAATTTACTTCGACTTTCCAGCTTATAAATGAAATATTTTCAAGGCAATAAAGCCAGCTTGGTGCGTGCTGTTTTCTGCCTATGAAAAAGGAAGTGTTTTCCATAGAAATGTAACCGATGGAAAATTTCGATTGTCAATACGACAACAAAGGAGAGCTTGACCTTCTCCAAGGGAGGCGCCACAACGGCAGGTTCCCACCTCAACAAGAGAATGATAGCGGTGAAGAGTGGATGTTTTGGACTGAAATTAGCGGACATGAACAAGGTGACCGATCCTCGTGTGTACCAGTCACCATCTGCATCGTTCAAACAACGCGATACCGCCGAAAAGGCCCAATGGATTGGACTATAACTCCTACTACATGGCAAAGCATTGATTTCACGGTATTTCAGATCGTCAAAATTCTCCTGAGCATTACTGGGAGCTCAGAATCACCGCCTCCAAATCATCACATTGCACGCTAGCAGATTATGTTAGGTTTGTGCAGAAACAATAAGAGTTCCTTTTGCGACAGCCGCGGCTTACATTGGAGATTAATAACGAATAATCAAAGAGCAAGACCTACAAAACAATTACCGAATTCTCTCAAAAAAACTTGATCCAGTCAACATGGAAGCCAAAATTAAAAGTGTTTAATTACCCAAAAAATGGGCCCTCCGCGAAAAATCTTGGGAACCTCCCACCTGAACATAATTAACACATTGACGACTGCTTAACACACATGGCATGGTGTGTCAAGGCTTGAATTTCGTTGAAATCGTAACTACTTTGAGTCAAACCCACTCTAAGAGATTTTCGTGTTGGATCTAGATATAACCTCCACGGCGCTACGGCTAAGTATACTGTAGATGGGATTATGCGTGATTATCCAGAAAAAGTTGACTGGTCCGCAGTAAGAATTTTTTTGAGGACTAGAAGTCAAAATCAAGCCAAAATTACAAACATGTTGTCTGTTTCTTCTTTCTGCACCTTAGCAGTCTGTACGTACCTAAAATGTGGTTGCGCATGATCTATCTCTTCCATCTAGGTAAATGCTCTATAAGCCGAAGCATAAGACGAACGCCGTTTCATCGATGTCTTTTAGCGCTCTGCACCTAGTATGAGTCCGTTTCTAGACTTTTTGAAAACGAAGTCCGCCTAACCTTCGCAAAATTTTACGATTTTTGACCCTTGCTCTGCCCTCCCTCCCCCCTTCCCTCGACTGTTGATGGATCCAAAAATTTTTCCGGATTAAGTCCGAGAATTGAACAAAAATATCTGCAAGGCGAGAATCTCCAACCTATTTTCAGTTGTATAAGCCGCACCCTTTTCGCTCTAAAGGCGAATACGCCAGACTGAAGTCATCATGGAGCGCGTTAAGTGAGAGCAATATTCGATAGGGCGACCGCTTCGCGAGACATGCGCGGCGGCACGCCTGGGTCTGCTCGCGTTTAGAGCAAAAAGGGTGCGGCTTATACACCTGAAAATAGGGTACTTTCTTGAGCAAAAGCTGCTTTTTTCCGCGGCCTGGTAGAGAAGCCCAGCATGTCAAACCAAAATTTAGAACAAACTGAAATGGTGTTGTTATATGGAAATTGTACAGACAGAGCAGTACAGAAAAAGCTACAGCAGAGCAGCACTCCTAAGGAAACAACCGGTTTACCATACTTGACCATATTAAATTGTAGGGCTTCAAACAAAGACAAAACGAGAACCCAGTAATTTGAAGATAGCATTTCTTCATGAACATCATTCGGCTCTGTAAATCACGATAGCAACCAGAGATGCGCAATGAAGTAGATGATCCTGATCATGCAATCTGCCTCTGCTCGCGAGACAGATACCCGTGCCGCATCCCCCCCCCCCCAGTGGCCGGAGTGCGGGCACGGTTGTAAATGCAGATTTTTCTCAGAATATTGTGCATAATCGCAATTATGTTCTCTGTCCTGCATCTTTTCAGAACTAGCCTAGATCAGCGCTGACATCGTCGGAGAATAAGCGGCTCTGAAAGTATCTTATCAATGAAAGCAGTCCTGCCTTATGATTGATGTTTTTCTGCCGCCCTATCTCTCTAGCATGGTATCAGTAGACGTTGAAACACACTAAGCGCCTTGTTTTGAAGATGTCTTGAAGTTGAGCTTCTATTAATGCAACAACTAATTGGTTAGGTATAGCTGTGAATTCGCCCCCTCTTGGCGCTGAATCTATGACGATTGTGCTTGACTCTATTAACTTTATTTCTAGAAAAGCTTCCTTACCCGATTTTATGTTATTAGCATTACCCTTTCAGATGTTACATTGTGTTTGTGCTTACTTCGACTTGTTTCGGTTTTGTGATGGTTCATGGAGTGAAAGCAGAATGTAGAAAGAGCAGTGCTTGAGATTTTGAGAGCACTTCTAACTTCACTTAAAACTATCTGGAAACGATGAAAAGGAAACTTTTTTCGTTGTTGTTTTTCGTTTCATCACGTTTAAAAGTGATGTTTAGATGCTAGGAAATACTGAAAAAAGGTACCAATTTTCATATTTCGTGGAGGTGATATGAGAACCTTATTTAAGTTGTTTACAACCATCTTGCAAAAACACCATTTGAATGAAGTCATGACCTCCTTCCCTCATCCACTCTACAATGCGACTCCCCTGGTCGGACGCTCCTGAACCCAAACCGTGCTTTGAATCAAACGAAATTTTCGTTACTGCTTACAAGCTCAAATGTGTCACACACACAAAAGAGTCTGACAAAAACATTGCCTTTTGCTGATTCCTGAATATGCCAGCCATCCCGTCATATCACATCTTTGATTCAACAACATCATTTACTTATTGGGAGTCGGAAAGGCCATACAGTTTAGCATTTGCTCTTTAAGACATCTCGTTTTGTTGACCATCTAATCACGGGTAGAGAGATGGCGCAATGTTTATCTTTCAAATAACATATTTCAAATGACTCTGAGCGACCGCGCTCTTCCGCAGCTGTTGATTACCTGTAGACTTTTACATGATGCTTAAATCCCGAACTTCAAGGTCCTACATTAGACATTAACATACAAGGCGCAGAGTGCACAATATCCCGGAAGTCAAAACATGCTCTATTAATTCAAAAGTTGTTGATGCTGTCCTGGGAGATGGTCATATATCTCAAAAACTTTAGATGCATTCAGTTTTTGAGTTTCCGAAGCACGAAAAAACCAGTTTTTATGAAATCTGACGCTTTTAGTCGTCAGCATTCACAACTGTCTCAGATTGTGCGCGATAGCTTTGGATTCCAACAAAAGCATACTTCTGACTCGAAAATCTCCCAGCACCTTTACTCGAGAAAATGACGTTAGCGCAAAAAATGCTTTCCCCATTCCATCTAAGCTGGATGCCATCAAAGTGCAACAGCGAAGGATTGTACTGATGAAAAAAAACATTGTTTTTTCTTTGCAAACTCAATACCAGGTGATGAAAAAATTACTGAAAGAGACAATAAGGTTTCAAACGTTATTTATTGATAAATTAAGGCTCCTTTTTCTAATAAACTCAGACTTTTCTAGTAGACTTCTAATAACCAGTTACCAAGAAAGAAATATCGTGCTTTCTAACAAAGTCGCGCAGGCCGTGGCATGTGGTATTTAGTGTTTTCTTTTGAGTACTTCAGTCATCTGAGATTTCCATATGGTTTACTGCCGAAGAGCGATGCGAAAGTGAGAGCAAAGTCAAAATTGTCTCTCTTCTCCTACCATCCGTTATATAATCCTACATTTAGTTTCATGAATACATTTGTGTGGTAACTAACTGTTAGACTTTTACTATCAAATAAATAAAGTAGACAGAAAATTACCTTACCGATTTATTGATAAATATACTATAATTGCAGATTCGAATCAATAGGGGGTCGGCACGAGGTGGCTCTGGCACTTTTCTGCAAACAATGTCCCTGCCGACTTCGCAACAAAAATATGAAATCCTCCTATGATACGCTCTTAAATGAATGAAACACGAATAACAAAGAAAGAACGGAACAGAGTAGAAGACCAGCAACGAATAAACGGTAAAATGATTAATGGCGTTCATAGAATTGGGAGCATGCTGTGTTCGGCGCGGCACCACCGCGCGCTTGGAGCAGGCTTGCCGTCGCCATTCAAAATTTTTGAAGGGCTCTAATTAGACGTAGAGGACGGGGTTTAAGGAGGTTTAGAAAGTGATTCGCAGAGTTTTAAATGTAAATTAAAGCTATGCAAAAAGTTCATGTATAATTTGAGGGGGGGGGAACATTCATGACTTTTCGTTTTCTGAGCCACCTCGGGTGTTTTCTGATCCACCTCAGGTGGTTCGAAAGCCTCCTAATTTCGAAAAAAAGTTTGTCACGCATTCCTTTTACATAACTATTTCATAATTTTTCAAAATTAGTTCCAACTCTTATAAATAGTTCCAACTTTCTATCGCTCGTCTGCACAACAATTTTGGTGTCATATCATTTTTGCATCGTTGTAAACAAGCCTTTTGTTTACTTCAAAACATCTTCTTGAACCCCCACGCTCACATAAAAAGCATATTGGAGCGGAAAATTGCAGGATCGGAACGGTAGAGCGAAATGAGCATCTGCAACGTCTTTAGAAGGTAAAAATGTGGACTAAAAAGGTGAAGGGGTGATCAGAGGGAAGAGGTGGGGGTTTGTGGGTTTTTTGTGGGGGGTTATCTATATAAACCCTTCTGAGTTGACACATGCGATCTGAGGTTCTCCTGGAATCCACAAAACGATATTCCTTTTGCTTTTGCCAACGAATTCTCTATGGGCTCTATGGGCTCTATGGCTATATGGGCTCTTTCACCTTTGCTATTCCTAGTCTATTCTACTGAATTACCCCAAATTTTAAAAATTCATCCTGACATACATGTGCTCATGTCTGTTGATGATATGAAAATTTGTGGTATATACATTAGGGATAATCAGAGAACGATTATAGATGCCTTGCAGCGTGCCATCAATAACACTGAATGGTGCACAGCACGGGACATTTCAGTGAATATATTAGGTCGTTACATAAGTCCGTAGAGTTCTTATTTTTGTAACAATTTCTGGATGAAGCGGTTATTTTACGTCAAAGTAGTTGCACCGTCTGAATGAGCCAATCCTGCTAGACAAGACCCGTTGTTCTTTTTCGGAGCGAATCTGATTTCTTTTGATTTATAAGCTCTCAAATCAAAGTTTTTTGAGAGGCAAAAATTGGCGATTTCGGCAACTGCACTTTCCGCATTTGGTCCGTATCCCGCAGAATGTTATTTTCATATGTAGGCGGAATAGATAGTAGCAAGCAAGACTGATATAATGACAAGTTTGCAGCATGCCAGTATGCTTAGAACCGTTTGAACAAGGTCCCAATAGTTGTTGCCTTCGACTGTTGCCGCTTGAGTTTTGCGCGTTGTTTAGCGACAGTATGTGTCGGTCCTCCTATCGGGCCTTAAAGGCAGCGTCCGGGCAAAAACGAAACTGTAGCATACAGGGGTTCTCGGCCTGTTGGAGCTCTTGCTCAAGTGGCATTGCACCACTTTGCTTCTGAAGCGAGAAAACCGCTTCAGAAGTAGCGACAGGACCGCCCCGGCGACGTGCCCGCCCCTTCAATCGGTAGTTAGAGTACGTATGTCGAGCACGTGACTCTGCGTCTTAAGCTCGGCGGCAAGCGTTATTATCAAAATCAACTACTTCTGGAAAAGCCCTTTTTCGACATCTTCGTTCTCTGCAAGCTGCATTTTCGGAATCAGCGGGAAGAATAAGGCCAGGTAAACGAAAAAAATTTTGCTCGAGAGTTTGTCCGGACGCTGCCTTTAAGGAATGGATGGGTTTTTCTAGGCGGTGTAGATGTATGAGTACAAGCTCTGGCCAACATTTTACGCTTTCTCAAAATTTTTTGGAGTGGAGACATCCCTAAATTGTACCAAACGCAAAACATCTACACATATGGTAAAAGTGGGCTTAATCCTTCTTTATAGCGTCTCTTTAGGTAAGACGACTACTTTATATGCACCGTAGTCCCATAAACCGTGGTTTTTCATCACCTATAACAACTTCAGATGAAAAAATCCCACATGTGACGCCGTATATGGATCGAAAGTTGCAGTTGCCAAAATCGCCAATTTTTGCCTCTCAAAAAATTTTGCTTCGAGAACTCGTCAAAGAAGGGGATTTAGGTTCGCTCCGAAAACGAACAACAGTTCTTGTAGAGCAAAATTTTCTCTTTCTAGTGGTACAGGTACTTTGCCATAAACCAACCGCTTCATCTTAAATCGGCAACAAAAATAAAAACTCTACGAACTTATGAAACGACCTAATAATAAGAAGAAATATAGATTTATATATCTTTTACTCCGTTTCGTCCCTTTCCTTAGACGGAGTTTTGAGGTCTAAATAAAAGCTATGTATTCCATGTTGGTGCTGCAAGTGATAAACACTGAGCATGCGGGAGTTTTTTTTTAGCGAACAAAACACCTATCAAAGATTTGTGTGTTGTATTTGATAGCAGCTTGAAATCGGACCTGCAAAATTTCAAATATCACTTCTCGTGCATTCTCAACTTGTACGCCATCTTTCGCAATATAGAAGTAGCCGATCCCGAAACATTACTGAAACTTTACAAGGCATTTGTCATCCCTACTGTAGAGAATGCGAATCAGGTTTGGAGCCTTTTTTGAGGAAACATAAGCAGGCCCTGGAGAACGTCAAGAAGGTTTACAATACTTGCTTTCAGGATTTTTAGAGGCGAGACTAAACTAAGACCTTCTAATACTGAGTGTTCAGGCCTAGTCACGGAAGGACTACTGGGTTTTCTGTTTACTTACATCTAAATAGTACGCGTCAACTAAACTTTTTATCAAAAACAATTCTCTTGCACGCAAGTTGAAATATCTCCACTGTTTACCTAAACAAATTCTGCCTTCTCCAGATACTCTCACTTTCAAACGTAGACTCAAGAAGTTTTTTCTTCAGATGACTACTTCTCGTCATCGCTCGTATGGTGCTATCAATTGCCTGCAAAAATTCTCTCATGCTCTGCTTCGCATGCTGTTTGGGCCTAACAGACCTACTGTGAAACCGACTAACTCTATTAATCTCCCACTTATCGCGCAGAAGGTTTCCCAGTGATAACCTTCCCAGATGCTATATTTGCGACAGTTGAAGCTTCAAGTCATTCGCTGTTTCGATAATTACTTCTCCTACGCGTTGGTTCAGTCAGTCGGCTCACCCTTTCGTTATTATTTGAGAATAGTTTGTCAGGCCTGTCCATCTTTTCCATCATACTACCGGAGTTCTGTTCTCTCCCCAGAATAAGTCGGGGATATTGATATTAATCAACACATACCGTCCCCGCAAATACAGTTGCTTAAGTTGAGTAATATAAGAGCACTTTTGCTACAAGCAGGGGGCATGGGACAGACTCCACTGAACTTTTCACTGATATAGGCCGTCCACGCAGGGCGCGAAGGGTGCGCAAAGTGTGTCACTCCTCTTTCCTCGTGCACTCTCGCCGACTGTTTTCTCTGCGCTTCTTCCAATCGTGAACTGCCGTCAGTGTACGCAACAGCGTTGCGCTCCATGCGCAGCGCGGACGGCCTATATATCCGTACATGGTCCCAACAAGCTTAACCCCCTTCATTCTTAATACAGCTGTCAGCCGGACTTGGTCTGTTGGTGGATTTTCTTTTGGTTGTTGATTTATCACTGTTCAGGCTCTGAGTATATTCGATTTCCTTGTCCAAAATGTGACACGCAGCGTATCAAATAAATTGAAATAGATAAATATCCAGACTGCTTCATAAGCCGCCTGCCTGGACTCATCCAGCACAGGTAATAATTGAGATTTATAATCCATTTTTTAATACAGAATAGGCGTAGGCAGTATGTTGTCTGGGCGATTTGTGATTTTTGAGATATATAGCAGAAGTCATTTGTTTTCGTCATGTCAAGAATCACAAATCATCATAGAAAAAAACACTGCTTTGTTATCCGCATGTAGATCATGGAGCTTGCATTACTGACGATGTCTGTTTCTAATGTTTTTACTATTTTAGCGATCCAGCTGAGGTATGTTAGAAGCTTGGTTGTTATCGGGACTCGTGCGACGCAAGTCGCTCGTCGCTACAGGCTGGCGGAGAACGCTACATACTGCCCTTATCAAGTGCGCTTTCCTACTCTTACCCAAATCTGCTGGGCGCATTGCCAAGGCGAGGTGTACATTTAGCCGCGCAACGTGCGGCGTTGGCCTCCTCCTTTCATACTTCGTTGATCCCTTTTCTAAATGTTTTGGCAGCTTTGTTAGTTAGCTCCCGCGTTAGATCTCTCCGTACTTGCGGTTGAGCACTTCCAATTGTTTTGAAACATACGCGACAGTCTCGCGGTAGGTTCGTCTGCATGAAGTTGCTGCAATTCAAATTGGATGTTAGGAAACTCGTACCGTTCCGAAAGGACCAGGCAATAGGCGACTAACACTGAAGGCGAACTCCGAACTCTTGTTATGAAGATTAGGCCAAGAAGAACATCGTAGATCCTAAACGAGTTCGTGCCGCCTATATTCTCAGTGTGTTCCTAAATAGGATGAATATAATTATATATCTTTTTAGTGTTCGTAACATTAAATATAATTAATCTAGCAAATCCTCTGCGATCAGGAGATATGATATTGCATGGTAGTACTTGACGGTGTGAAGGTTCACTTGCACGAACGTTTGTATATGGATTGGGCGGAAGTTAAAATAAACCTGACAGAGATGACGGAGCACATTACTAGTAGATTCGTCACTAGATGTAACGCTAGTTTCTGTTTTAGCCATAATTATAATATATACTCTAAAGCAAATAGATGCGGAATGTTTATTCTTCTTCCGGATAGTACGAGCAGTGTTTGTATTATTATTAGTTAACTAGA